GCATTTCTTTTCTATGTTTCAGGTATAGTACTAATGCATCCCAATTACTTTTGTCTGTCCGTACAAAATATGTTTTATTTGAACATATGAATTTGATATTCGTCACATTCTCTCATCTTTCTGGTGGTTTTGTCTGTTTGTAATCTCCTAGTATTGCTCAGCTGAAGGACATGAGTGATCAAGATGACATGCTGTTGGAGTTCTTCATGTGTCTGCCTCAGCTCAAACAAGTAACCTCTGACAAAGAGGAACTGGTCAACAGCATTGTGGAGATGGCCAGTGAGTTTTCTGAGCTAGTTACTAACCTCTAAATAAATTTGAGACTAAAGTGGGATCAGTGGGATTTGTGTTGTAAGTAAGCAATACACAGATTATTTGACTCATAAAGCTAGTCCTTAAAACTATAAACTCACACATTCACCGTAGATCAGATCAGTGTCTTTGGAGGTTTGCAAATAATAGAAGTAATATGTCTTGCTTGCAGAGAAGAACCTACAACTCGAACCTCAACTGGAGAACAAGAGACAAGAGATGTTGTGTAAAGTATGTACTTTCACAAATACTGAAACAAATGCTTGAGTCAAAGAGCCTGTGCATTTTCACAAGTTGTCTCAGACTTTTGGACCCCACTGTATGTTACAATCTTGTCAATATCTTTCCTTTTGAGAATGTTTTCTTTTTCTGTAGTATGAACAGTTAACCCAGATGAAGTCTGCATTTGAAACCAAAATGCAAAGGCAACATGAGCTGAGTGAGGTAAAACACGCATGAACATAATTTGTCATTAGCATGTGATTGTGACAAGAAGTCCGTTGGACAAGGAAATGGAAAATATAGTATTGTAGTATTTATCTTGTGTAATATTCAAAATTTCAAACACAAAAGTGTTGTGTTTGTTTTTTCTGCTTCCATATTGTGTTTTGCCTTGTTTTTTTTGTTTTTTTTCCAGTTACATTTGGCTCAGGTTAATTGTTGAATGAACTGGACTAGACAAAATATGATTGCATTTATTTAATCAAAAATACAGTAAAAAGAGTAGTATTTTGAAATATTACTATTGTTTTGTATTTTAATATATTTAAAGATTTAGTTTATTCTTGTAATTGCAAAGGTACATTTTCAGCAGCCATTACTGTAGTCTTTAACGGTGCTTAATTATTATCAATTGTACTCCAAAAATTAAATTAATAATAATTAACATGTCCCTGTGGCTCAGTGGTAGAGCATTGCGTTAGCAGCACAAAAGGTCGTGGGTTCGATTCCCAGAGAACACATACTGGTAAAACATGTATAGCCTGAATGCACTGTAAGTCGCTTTGGATAAAAATGTATTAATAATAAATTATTAATAGATTTTTTATAAATGTCTTTGCTTTCACTTTTGATCAATTTAATTGTGTCCTTTCCAAATAGAAGTATTAATTCTTTCCTCTTATTTATTTATGTTTTAAATCTTACTTACTCCAAACTTTTGAACGCTAGCCTGTCACAGTTTCCACAAAAATATAAAGCTGCAGTGCACAACTGTTTTCAACATTGGTTAATAGTAAGAAATGTTCAGCATATTAATATAATTTCTAAAGGATCATGTGTCACTGAAGACTGAAGTAATGGCTGCTAAAAATGCCAGGGTTTATTTTTTATTTTATTGAAATGTTTACTTTGATTTTCCTTTGCCAGAGCTGCAGTCTGAGCGCACTGCAGGCTAGATTAAAGGTAGCAGCCCATCAGGCCGAAGAGGAGTCTGAGGAGACAGCAGAGAGCTTCCTAGAAGGAAAGACAGAGATTGACGACTTCTTAGCCAGCTTCATGGAAAAGAGAACGGTATTAAAGCAATATTCCATATAAAACAATAAACAAATGTTTAAACACAGATGTATGGTACGCATTTTTCTATTGAGAATCCGTAGATTTATACATTTCGTAAGACTAGTGTGATGTCCATGAGACTTTTATGTTCTGCCACAACTTCCTGTTACAACAAGTAGTCAACACAGGAACACAGCCATGTTTGTTAAGCCATTCTATTAGGCCTTATCCTATGGTCTGATATGAAATAGGTGTGCACTTTCTGAAAGTTAACATGATGATGATTTAACCTTCTTTTTCAGCTTTGCCATTGCAGAAGAGCCAAAGAGGAAAAGCTCCAGCAATGTATGAACACACATGGACAGTTCCCTACCACACATTAGATTGAATGTCCCAGAAAGGTAATTTATATTTTCTTCAGACTGATTTACTAATGGTAAGAAAGTGTTTTTAACTCTCACGTTGATTAAAAACATTAAATAGTCTTTTTATCACAGGTTTGGGATCAATCTACCAGCAGATGGTTGGGCTTGAGACAAGCAGCACATCTTGTGGCCTACAGCCTTGATTGGGCAAACCTAGATATATATATATGAAAAAGACATTTTGGCATCCTTTACTGAAATCAAAGTGATTTTTGCACAGAATTTCCAAAAGTGTTACGCAATCCCTGGTTGAGTAAGACCAGATGTGAGTACATCTGGATGTGCCCAGTCTGGCTGTGACCCAAAGGCTGTAATCAGAGCAAAGCAATCTGTTCTTAATAGTGTTCAGAAACAGGCTGAGTTCTACCCTTATTAGTTCAGTTTGAGTTTATGTGACAAATGGGGTTGGGCCTTGTATGCACTTGAAAATGAATTTTGAAAACTGAAAAATCTTAATGCTGCCGACAAAAACATACTGTATTTAATAATGTTGATAAAAGCCTTTATTATAATTAGACACTGTATTATATGTTTATTTAATTTGATAGGTTAATAAAACATTTAGAATAATCCCTGCTATGGTTTAAGTGTGGTTTTGCGTCTTCAATAACATTAATACCATTAGACACCAGAGGTATATGCACAATATATCGGTACCATATCAGTTGTGAGTTTTGTTTTGTTTTTTGATGATGGTCAGTACTGAACATTTAATTGTGCTCATTTCCCCTACTTTTAAATTCAGATTATGTCTGCCAAACCAACTTTATAAACACTTATAATTTAATAATGTGATTGAGTAATATTCAAATCTGAAAACAAATATCCATTTCTCATAATCTACTTTATGTTGTAATGCCTAAACTCATCTGTAGTATTTAACCCTTGTGCTGTGTTAAAAATACTTTACCCTAATTTGGTGTTCCTGGAAAAATGGACAGCCTATTAAAATGTGCTTGTAAATGCTGTATTATGACCAAATCTTGGATTCCATTTTTTTTGTCAACTTGTTTTCTTTCAGTTAGCACAGATTTTGTAAGCCTCATTGATCTGACAATTATGCACCCCAGCCTTTGACCTTTCCACAAATGATGCTTAAACTCAGCTTAACGGGATAGTTCACCCAAAAATTTAAATTCTGTCATTAATTACTCACCCTCATGTCGTTCCAAACCCGTAAGACATTGATAAATGTCCCATCTTCGGAACACAAATTAAGATGTTTTTGATTAAATCTGAGCTTTCTGATCCTCCATAGAGAGCAACGCAACTACCACGTTCAAGGCCCAGAAAGTTAGTAAGGACATCATTAAAATAGTCCATGTGACATCAGTGATTCAACCGTAATTTTATGAAGCTACGAGAATACTTTTTGTACAATATTTAGTTATATAAAAAATGTTTGTAGGCTGGTCATTTCTGATCAGGAACACAAGTGTAACAAGGTGTGGGGAAAGAAAAAAAAAAGTACAAAAATTATCAAAAGTTTTCTGGGAAGCTTTTATGCCGTGTGAGCAAAGTCAGTTAGTTTTAGTCCAATGCAATACAATAACATTAACATTTTCAGAAAAAGGAAAATCCTCTTTGTGTCAAAATGACCGGGACACAACATGAGGGTTAAAAGGAATTATTTTTGTGTTTATTTTTAATATATTTTGACAAAATATTATTCCATTTTAAATTTGGCCATTTATCAGTTATCAGCCATAAGCTCAAAATAATTATTGGCTTACCAGTAGCAGCCATAATTTTATGAGTGCATCCACAAGAGCTGTTTCTGCTAAAACAGTGAAATGTGCAAAGAAAACCAAGCCATTCGTAAGTTGTCTTCACGAAGAGTGTAAACACTTTGTAAATGCTCCTTTCAAAGCACTTCAGGGAAGCGTTTGACTTGTTTGTCCAACAATGCAAGAAGGGGTAGAAGTGTTTAGGAAACCTGTTTGGAAAAAAAAAAACATATTGCCGTTTCACTTAAAAGTAACTACACATTTTAAAATTATGTTCATCCAAAATGTAAAAATTGGCTCCAGATATGCTGTAGTTTTGTTTGCTGTTTGGCACACACTTTATTGAGAGCATTTGCCTTAGAAATTTAGATATTCATAAGTTCCAGACAAATTTTTTAACATCTACTGCTGTAGCTTAAATGGTAATCACATGGATGTGTGAGGGATTGATTGTCTATATGTCAGAGTATGCCTACAGTTACAGAAATGGGAAGTAAATGTAGTGTGGGTGCCATACAGCTCTTGGTTCCATAGCCTATAGTTCTTGTTTTCACATGTAAAGGAAATTCTCATCACTTCCATTTAAGATTTTCTAAACACACAGGTAGGAATCTGATGGTCACAATAGGCACAGTCCAATTTCCATGAATATATGGGCTATGATCGGAATGAAATTCTAGCATATTCTATGCTGCCTGCTGGTTTTTTACAAATAACGTGAAATTAGAATGCAGTATGCAGTGCTATACGGTTAAATAAAACTGTTGCATTATATTTCCCAACCCAAATATTAAAAAATAAATAAAAACCTGATAAAAGATATTCCTTCCGTTTTTTGTATTGCTTTGTGGGATACAGCATTTTAAGCAGTGTGTATTTTGGCCAAAAAAGTAAATATTTAGAACGGAAGCTCGTTTCCACCATGGGATTTAAAAAAAGCAATTCCAAGTTTGTATCTCACAATTAAGACTTTTTTTTCATAATTGTGAAATATAAAGTCAGAATTATGAGATAAGAATTTGCAATTGCGAGTAACAAAAAGTCAGAATTGTTAGATAAAACTATGGTGGAAACAAAACAATTTGCAAGATGTAAACTCGAGTTGTGAGAAAAACAGTCCGAATTGTAAGTAATAAAAGATAAAATTGTGAGACAAAAGGTCACATTTAACTTTTTTTAATCGCATGGCTGAAACAAGCTTCCATAATTCTGGGTTATGATATATGTTCTGTGTATTAGTATGAATAGTATGGTAATATGCTGTTCCGAGCATAGCTATGGAAGATGTCAAGACAAAAAATGACTGACGGCTTAAAGGATCAGACAGTAAAATACAGTCAAACCAAAACCTAAAATACTATACAAAAAAATAAGAATTTACTATAATAGACCATCTTGGATGTGTGTTCTTGTTCACATACTTAAATATAAATTCACACACAGATTAAAAAAATTAAAATAACATTAAAAACCCAGCAGTTCCCAGTTTGGTAGTCGTTACTGTGCTTTTGTCCCTCATTGTCACCAGTTCTGTTTTAGTTCAGGCATTTGCTTTGACCACCTCGTCAGAATCGGGGTCCTTAGTGTCGTCTCCACCACTAGAGGAGTAGCTGCTGAGGTCAGCCACACCTGACTCGAAATCACTGCAGGTTGAAAGGTCATCAGGGTCACCGTTCTTGTGTGGGGCTGCTAACTGTAGAGGCAGTGTGAAGGAAGGAGTGCTTTTCTCGCTTCTTGGAGCGGTGAAGTAGTCTAGAGGGCTGCCGAGTTCGCTCTCGGTTGGAATTGGACGTCGGACACGTTCAGACAACTTGTTGGTCTTCTTCCTCTCCCCTGAAGTTTTCCTTTCCTTCAGTTGGGCAAGTCTCTGTAAATACGTTCGAAGAGGACGAGGTTGGCGAGTTTTACATTGGTGCAGCAAAAAGAAGGAACAAATTCAATTCTATTGGGATAATGTTTGAAATAAGAGAGTCCATACATCCTCCACTTCTAAATTGCCTAAAATGTCCAAGTTTTGGCTTTGTTTTCCAATTGACAGTCTCTCTACAGTCCTCATACATGATACGTACACGTATTTGCATTGCTTTGACTGTTCTCTGTAGATCCTTCTCTCAAGACTCGATTGGTCAATTATGTACAATTTAGGCAATTTAGAAATCCTGACCAGCAAATATCCAGGAAAGAGAGGACGTATAGTCACCCTAATAAAATGGAACACTAGTATACTACATAGTAAACTTGTAATGTGTAATGTGGGAATGAATTGTGCACCCATCCTCTACTTTTAAAATGCTTGATGATACATATGTGATATTTATGCATGCATGTGTATGCCTTGTCCAGCGTCCATCTCCCGTGGTACCTCCTGGTGGGAGCTAAGCTCCTCCTCCAATTGTTGTGACTCCTCCCTCACTGCGTTCAGGCAATCGGCTGGAGATTGGTGTGAGGCCACACTTTTCTCTGCACGGCCGTACATTCCCTTCCAAAACCTAGAACATCATTTTCAGTTGATGAATCCTCTGTTGCACAAAGTTACCCAACAAACTCATTCTATTCGCTTTGCAAAAACATAATGCATTTAAGACGGCAATAAAAGACTTCGAGGGGGAGCTTTGTCTTGGTCACTACATCATTAGAAAACGTTTATGTTGTGGTGCACAATGTGCTGTTTTATTGACTTTCTTAAGCATATTAATTGATTTTTAAGCCAATGTGATTTGGATGAATGAACAAAGAAAATTGCAGTTATCATATTATGGTAGACTTTTTGTATTCTCTTGATCTAGATTGCATGTTCTCCCTGTGTTGGCATTTTATTTTAGTATTATTTACTATTAGTATAAGTAATAATACTAATTCTATGGTACTATTTATTAATATTTTAAATTAGGTTTTATTTTTATATGATCAATTCACATTATGTTAAGTGTACAAATATGTGCCAGTTGGGCAGGAAAAATAATCTTGTTTTGTCTATTTTTCTTTGCCAAATGGCAGACATTTTGTCTTGCTTAAGTTTTGTCTTAGCAAAAACTTACTAACAACATTTTGATAAATTTTTCAGAAAACAAGTTATCTAAAGTCATTTTGCTTCTCAAGTACATGCATGTTGATTAAAAAATGTTTAGATATTTATACTAGAAAAAGTTTATACTGTTTTTTTAACAGCGTATTCAAATCTGCCATGTAGAAGTTTAATCGTAAGTCTTATTCACCAATGTTAAGTGTACTAAAATGGTTTAATAACATTTTTCTGTGCTGTTGTTAAGAAGTAAAATGGAGTCATTGATTCACTGATCCATTGTCACACAGCCACCAGACAACATACCCAAAAAAGGTCCACCTTTTAATTTTCAAAACTACTTTCCACCTAAAACTCCACTGGAACACACTTGAGGGGGCTTTTTGATCAGGAACATTGAGGCTGAAGGTCAAGTTCACCCATCTAAACGTATCCCAAAGGTAATGTTTCTTTTTCATACCAACAGTTATTTGTTGAACTTTTTGAAGAATACAGGCATCTTTGAGATTGGATTAGCCTAAATTAAATCATTAAAACTTTTTTGTTGTTGTTTGATTAAGTCAAACAACCGCTCTTATAAGGTAACAATCCTTCTCTCAAGTCCACTAAAGTGCCTTGGTGGAAATTAACAAGTGTGTTTATTCCTTGTTTAATTCTAACTTAAATAAATTGACACCTCTTTCTGTTGCAACATTGGCTTAAAACAAACATTCACTTCACTTTCTTATTCTTACAGTATGGCGCTTTGTCATCTCTGAGCCAATTCGGAAAGAAGCATGACTATTATACAACAGGAATGTGAAAGAAAGTGTAATGATCGTACTGAGATAATTCAGTTCGGTTGACTTACTTGAAGCAGTAGGCAGTGGTGAGAGGTTTCAGAACACCCTGTGTCTGACTGTGGTCTGTCCTGTATAGAGGGTTTGTGTATTCAGCCCTGTTCTCCCACAGGTGCGGCCACAAAGAGTGAGTTCGCTCTTGTAACCTGCATAGTTCACAAAGAGGGGGACTGAATGAGTAAACTAGCACATAAAGGTAATGAAACCAAGATGGGCCAACGGTTACAACAAGAAGTTACATTTCCTTTTGTTTGGAATTAGATTCTATACCACATCTATTAAAAAAAATAAAAATTGAGATGAGAACAGTTTTTTTAAGTGGGTATATTGTTGACATGTTTATCTGGTCCACTTTGCAGGTTTGTCTGGTTAGAATGCCCACTTGACAGGAAAAGACCATTTAAAGCATTGGTTTAAAACTCAATACCTGGAGGGCCACAGCTCTGCACAGTTTTGCTCCAACCCTAACCAAACACACCTGATCCAGCTAATCAAGGTATTCAGGATCACACTAAACTTCCAAGCAGATGTGATTTGGAGCTGGTTGGAGCTAAAGTCTGCAGAGCTGTGGCCCTCCAGGAATTGAGTTTGAGACCACTGATTTAAACGGATGAACCAGACCATATTTTTGGTTTTGCTTTGTTTTTAGTAATGCTAGACACATATTAGTTCTTCTTCTTATTGCACTCCAAGCCATTGATCATTCTGCTTTTCACACTGCTGGCACTAGTCAGACTTTCATCGGTGGCTTTTCGGCCAACTGATCATGTTGAATTGGATGTGAGAGACTCTGATTGGCTGTTCAGCTTAGAGAACCAATGTAAGAGAAGAAAAAGTGATGAAAGCAAGCCCAAAAAAAAAGTTCAGAAAGACTTTCCCTACATCCAAATATGCCTACTTCCCTACTATATAGTAGGTGGGAAACAGTATGTGAGACAAGTAGTATGTCCAAATTCATAGTATTTGTAAAACAATAGGCGGAAAGTGGATGACTTACTTCTGGTGAGATTCTGAAGTGTGCCTCTGAACTCTTTACTAACCCAGGAGGCCACAGTGAAGTGATGCGAGTCATGCGACTGATACTGGTAGATCACATGACAATGACAACATATAAAAACCTGCATTGCTTACGAGACGTTGTAGCTACAGCTGCTCAAGCGCGGAGAAAATGACAGCGTACAACTGGCTGAGGGCAGAAATATGCTAATTTGACACAGTCCACCAGCGGTCGTGGGCTGGGCCTGAGCAATATGACATCATACTGCTCAGAAAATCAAAACGGCTTGATAGTTGAGACTTTTTAGGTTTTTGGGGCCAAAAAAAAAAAAGAGAAGTGAATTGAATTGAGTTTTATCTTTGTAGGGTGGTTGTGTCCACACACTGGACCCATTTATATCCGATGTCCCCTTTAACAGTTGTGAAGTAAGTATAGTACCTACTAGGCTAAATGTGATTTTTAACAGCGTATGTGTGTATCCAGTCTTAGCTCATTCATTTCTGAATGACAAATACGGACTACTTCCACCTGCTGGTATGGAGAGTTATTTCCTCTCATGCAGACACAGAACCTACAAACTAGTTGGCTGTAGTGTTTGCTGTGTGTTCAAGCACAACGTTTGGTCGAGAGTGTTGGTTTGGTGCTTTAGGAGCTCTCATAATATCAGCTTAAAACATGATTTTGTTTCCTGGCTGGATGTTTTTGTGAACAATATGCCAGTAAACAGACCATCTATACTAGTACATCTGAAACCATCTCAGTTCAAGAAGTAGTTGATTTCTGTCAAAATCAGAACTAAGTTATCCTACATGATTGAAATGTTGAGCTGCAGTTGCACAAGCAGCTGGTGCGAGTAGAAGCCTGGCAAATTTTGCTGAAACTGTTCCCCCCTTATTTCTCACTGCAATCTCTAGTTATAAAATTAGCAATTTTTTTTTTTACCTCAAATCTCTCCTTTCTTTCTGGCAATTGCCGATGAAGTTCCCATGCTGGCAGGAGTAGATATGTGTGTGTAGCTGTATGAGGAATCGCTCACTGAACTCAAATGCACATGGGAACTGCTGCATCAACTGCCACACGCACTCCAGAAACTGGTCCATGACTGGAGAAACCTCCTTAGGGTCACCATCAAGGTGAGCATACCTGTAGAAGATTTTATATAATAAATGAATTTGTAAATAGTAATGGTATAGTCCACCATCCAACCTTTCACCACCAATCTATCTTTTCTCAGAGTTCACTGGCACTTTTGGATATTCCAACTTGGTGCGTCACATTACAAAACAAGCAAGAACCAGTGGTGTTTGCGGTCACTGATGTGCCAAGTTTGAACGTGCACATATGTTAATTACTTTTCATGAATGAATAACAACTTAAACATTACACAAAGTTATCGTTTGGCTTTAGAAGACTTTGAATATGTTATAGTCACTGTAAGCTTTTGCTATATGGGAAAAAGCAGCTTAAGCATTCTTAAAATTTTCTCCTTTTCTGTTCCATGTAAGAAAATGTTCATATTTGGGAAAACTGACTATGTAACATATCATGATTGGAGTGCAGAGACTCACCTAAAGCTTAGATACACAGAGCCTAACATTGTATACTGCATGACTGATGGTTTAGTGACAGTATTTGCTATGGATTCAGGAATGAGACTTTTCTTGTTTCGCATGTTATCCATGCACAACATACACAGTAGACGAGATTCACAGAAAGCTTCAATTCAATTATGCAATTCAACGAATTAAAATTAACTGCGAGTTGTACGTGGTGTCCAACATGTGAGGCCAGAAACATGCAAATTGAACCTGTGGGAAAACTTGTGTCCAAATGATACCCAGTCCTTCTCAATCAGAACCTACAAGAAACAAGACTTGTGTTCAAAATAGAAAAAAACATGTTACATATTTAGTCTTAGATGATGTTGGACTAGCACTGTTTAAAAAATCAAAGCAAAATGGATCAGTCATCAATGAAGTTATTACCATCAGTCCTTTGATAGTTCTGTAGTATGGATCCAGAAGCACACTAGCCACCGAACAGGCCTGAGCTGTTCTGTCCCATCCGTCTGAACAGTGCACCAAAACACTCACTCCATCCTCCGCCACTGCCTGACAACATAGATATGAATGGAAGAATACATGTGTGATCATATCATACTTATCATATTGTTTGTACTTAGGTTTTTTTACTCTGACGTTTTTGGGCTAATGGCATGTTTTATTAGATATGTAATTTCCATGATTTTACATTGCCTTTTCTAATCACTTGTGATAACAGAGCATGGCCTTTCAAAAACCATATGTAAAAACATTTTTAAAAAGTCTTGCCTTTGCAATGAAGACTCCAGCATCTAGTACAGCTTTGATGTGTTTTAGCCACCCAGAGTTCTCCAGACCCCACAGGAAATCACTCATGGAGGGAGCAGCGAGTTCACCAACTGCGAGACAGAAAAGGTTCATTTTTCATATGGACAACAAGTCAACACCAGACAAGTATCTGCTGGTATGAAAGTAATGCAGATTCATCTGTTTACCATCTATAAGCTTCTGTTGGCTGTTCCTCATGACATGGATGTTTTCTATGCCAATGAACTGTAGTTTTATGTTAGTGTAATGGTCTTCATTCTCGTAGCCCTTCCCTGCAGCACGATTAGCCATGGCATTTAGCTGGAAAGAGTTACAGACAGTGTTTCAACGTCACAATACAGCTGGTATTTATGATTATTTTCAAAATTTATGTAATGCAAAAAAAATAAAGAAAAAGCTTTTAATTACCTTTAATTATATGCACAAAGCCAAAGCCATTTATGGATATATATATATATATATGAGTGATGTCAAATGATTAATTGCGATTAATTGCATCCAAAATAAAAGTTTTTGTTTACATAATATATATGTGTGTACTGTGTATATTTATTATGCATATATGAATACCCACTCGTACAGTATATATTTTGAAAATATTTACATGTATATATTTATATATAAATATATTTAATATACAAATATAATATTTTTCTTAAATATATACATGCATGTAAGTGTATTTATATACAGTATACATAATAAATATACACAGTACACGCATATATTATTTAAACAAAATCTTTTATTTTGGATGCAATTAATCACATTTAATCGTTTGACAGCACTCATATATATATATATATATATATATATATATATATATATATATATATATACACACACACACACATACATACATACACACACACATACATACATACATACACACACACACACACACACACACACACACACATATACAGTATATACACATGCATTAAAGTGAAGCTTCAGTAACAACTTTTGCATTGCTACAAATAATGGTATTTCAAATAATTGCTGTTCTTTTGAACATTCTATTCATCAAAAAAGTTTCACGGTTTCTATGAGACAACTTTCAAATGACCTCGTCTAAATCTCAACAGCTTGTCCAACCTGTCCTTCCCCTTATTGTTTTGTGATCTCTCACCTTTGGCCTTGTGTCCACCACATACATGAACTCGCTGACAGGGTTTGACTTCATAATGGCCTGCAGCATCTGCTCATCATCTGAGGAGCGTGCACTGAAGCCAGTAAGAGGCTGACTGCTCCGGCAGATTGATGCCTAGAAAACCAATGGTGTAAGCATTTAAAAATAGAAAAGTGGGGAGGAGAAGACAATAAAAAGATTTGGCTTAACATATTAAGCTTGATATAAAAAGTAAAAGTCTACAACGGTTTGATCTTGAGTTCAAAGGAGTGTCCTTATTTTTGCACTTACACTGGTGTCTCTGTGGAAGTAGGAGAGAACAGGAAGACGCCCTCGACTCCGGAACTTGGCACTGCCCACAATGACAGCAGGGGAGGCTGACTTTGGCACAAACAGCTCTGACGGGTAAGTGTCACACAACTGCCAATCAGAATATTCTGATTAGAACTATTGTTTTACATTCTTGTGGTCAACAGTTGCCCGGTTTATTTAGTAACACACATTCTTAGGGCTCATTCAGGACACATTTACACATGCTATATGTGCAAGGTTCATTGAAAAATCATTAAAATATAATCATTTGCTCTGCTTCTGAGCAACTTTTCTTTTCTGTTACTGAAGAAACATAAAAGAGCGATTTCTCAATTTATGTTCCATAAAAGTAAGTAAGTCATATAGTCTTGGAACTATATGATATCAAAAGTACCTCTTAAAGTACTTAAAGGTCTTCTACCTTTGTTTTTCACAGTGTAATTTAAAGGCGCAAACTCAAACACTGATCTCTGAAATTTTGTGGAAAAGGAAATCATGGTTATTGACCCCGAGCATGAACAGGCATTTGATCAAATATTTACTCTGTACTCATGATTGGCTGCTGTGACATGCCAGAGGTTGCAGGGTATTCCCATTCGGCTGAATTCTGCCTTCAGGTTGATGAAGCCCCATGCCTTTTCCCTTAATTCTTTATCCAGGTTGGGGTTAAAAGAGAAACAAAACAGCTCTCCATAGCGTTCTGCAAAAAAACAGTAAGAGAGAGACATTAATGAGTGTGTATCTCATGGGTGAAATTCACAAAGCTGCATAGAATTGTGCTCTGACGTTGTCTGAATTTCACAGACAGTGTATTTTCATAATGAACTGTGATGCCACGGCTAAGACCTTGGATTGTCTAAGCAAAAAAGACACAGTGCTCACTTTTCACAGAAGAAAATGCAAATATATGAATCATTATTCATGCTTCGCCAAATCATATGTGAGCAAATCTGTAATGTGTTACCCTGATGGTCCTTCGTCTAGGACCTTGTGCACATCTCTATATGAGTATTGGCCATGTTTTATGGACAAGCCACTTAATTAACAGTCAGATTAATTAACTAAGTCACAAATCAGATTTTGGTACTTCAAGTAGATTCTTATATGTGACCCTGGACCACAAAACCAGTCATAAGGATCAATTTTCAGAAATTAAGATTTATACATCATCTGAAATCTGAATAAATAAGCTTTCCATTGATGTATGGTTTGTTAGGATCGGACAATATTTGGCTGAGATACAACTATTTGAAAATTTGGAATCTGAGGGTGCAAAAAAATCTAAATATTGAGAAAATCGCCTTTAAAGTTGTCAAAATGAAGTTCTTAGCAATGCATATTACTAATCAAAAATTAAGTTTTAATATATTTACAGTAGGAAATTTACAAAATATCTTCATGGAACATGATCTTTACTGAATATCCCAATGATTTTTTCGCATAAAAGAAAAATCTATAATTTTGACCCATACAATGTATTTTTGGCTATTGCTACAAATATACCCCAGCGACTTAAGGCTGGTTTTGTGGTCCAGGGTCACATATTATCAGTTTTTTTAAAAGGATACACTTTCTTTCTGATCATGGAAATTTTTTTTACACATTTTCACAATTTAATACTAAATAATAGTAATATGAATGAAAGCAAGCATATATTTTTGCACTTGACTTTTTAAGAACACTCTGAAAGCATCATGTTTAGCATTCACGACTGCGTGATTTTTGCTCATTTTACTTTACCTGGGCATGAAAGCTGAGTGAGGGAGGCCAGCACATCTAAACAGTCCTTCTCCTGTGGGATCAGCAGTCGGTAAACATGGAAGTTCTTACAGCGGATAATGAGAGGACTTCCTGAGGAGTTTGTTGGGAGTCTCTCCACATTGTATACCAAACTGTGCAGAACCTAGAGAAGCAAGAGAGATCCTTAGTGGCTGAGAAACTCTGGATTCATATTTTAAGAACCTTCTTGTTTAGGCATAAAGATACACAGTAAGTAAATTTAATAATATATATATATATATATATATATATATATATATATATATATATATATATATATATATATATATAT